GCAAAGGCTGAGTCGATCCTCTTAACATACATATTCATTGCATTATCGTGTCAAAGTTCTCGTCTAAATTCGTGAATTTGGAAGTTTCCCGACTATCATTTCTAGTACTATCAGTTTCAGTATAGGTTTATACCTTAATGCCCTCGAATATAGTCACAAGAAGCATGTTTAACGTATGCTTCTAAGATCTAGCTCTGGAGGAGGGAAAACATGTTCGTCGTGGACTGAATTAAAACTCCCGGCCTCTCCCCTTAGCAGGGAAAAAACGTTCACCGTCGGCTGGATTCGAACTCCCGACCTCAACTCACGAAGTCGAACGGTTCGGCTACTGGGATATCGAGGCACTGCCTGTGGGTAATGAAATAAATTCATCAACTATGGAAGAGCAGTCTGGATTGACTTTTGATTCATTTATGCTCTCTTGTGAAAAAAAATTGCGACGGGACCGTTAGACTCCAAAAGGATTAAACGTAGTGGGCTCCAGGAGTCACAAAAAGAAACTAAAAACAGTTTACTGGCACCAGACACTGACAAACTGGCGACCAAAGAGGAGGAGTTCGCGTCAGTCCGTCGTTGTATCGGCTGTGGGGAAATTTACTAACGAGTCCAAGTTCTCGAAGAGAAGCAGGACTTGCTGGCTGATATACTTGTGACTTTTCTGGAGGACAGGAAGAGAAAAACGTTAAATGGTCCGTCAACGACAAATACCGATTATCCTCATAAAGAAGGCATAGTCGTAAAAAATGCAAAGCCAACCAGGAAGAGGAAGCGAGTTACATCTCCTAAGGAAACTCCAGAAAAACCAGCTCCGCAGCATGAGAAGACAGTAAACACAAATGAAGCAAGGCTGAGACAAGCTTCACCAACCGTTTTGATAAATAGACCTACCAAATAATCGGACACTCAAGAAGGAGAAGCCAGGATAGACCTCAAACAAACTGTTAGAAACTTAAAGAGGGGCTCGTCGTAAATTCTGGAAGGGGACGCCGTCACTCCGTTTCATCAAAAGGCGAACTCACTTGAAGGGGGCATACAACAGTCCGTTTATGGAATTGAAAACGCCAACTATGCGTACAGGGCATTGCGACAGACCACAGCAAACGAAAATATATCTCCTGTTGATGTGCCAGTATCCACGAGAATTACCACTGCAACAACCTCTCTTCCTGTCCCGGGTGAGACAATACAGAGCTCGTAAACTACTCACAAGCAAAATATTGCCATAAAGGGGGCCCCAGAATACACGTCAGTCGTTATGTAGGAACGAATGACGCATGATTTAGCTCTTCTTCAAGACTACACCAGTGCTGTCATGAAGGATGGTGAAATTTTCACCGTACAGCCTTGGAATCCGCTACCAAGCGAGAAGGTTATCGCTGACGTCATTGGTGATGTTAAAATAAGGCTTTAGAGCATTGTATTTGACAAGAGACAACTCTCACAACATGATTTCTTAATGCCAGCCTGATTTATTGACTTTAGTTTGATGTCGCGCTGTTTCGCATTGTACCGGGACAACTCCCTCGAAGGTGTGTAATACTAAGTGTCTACAACTGCATATTGACTGTAAAAGTGAAATGGTTACTTTACATTTATGGAGTCATCAAGGGCATTCCTTGCCCGTAACCCTTCAAATATAAACATATACATATTACCCGAAAGTTAAACAGAATAATGTAACACCCTAATGGGTGCTTCGTTTGTTGTGCTCAAAATTATTGAGACTGAATTTTCAGTAGAACAGACAGTTAGAGTTAAATTTAAACTGGAGAATTATTATAAAGTTAAATAGTAACCATACCTAGTTTTTTCTCAGCCTTGTAGGTCTCCTCCAAGGCCTCCACGTACATAGCCTGCTCCAATAACCGTTCGGACACAGGGAGGAAATATTTGCCTAACATATCGATCGTAGCGTTGCCAACAATCGGTTGTGTTCGCGCTGGAAATTAAAGCGAAAATTAGACATTAGAAGCAAGTGGTTCAAAAAATGAATTACTTTTTTTCAGTAAGAGTTTCTCGTATGGCCCTCTAATAGTAATAAGAGTTGCTCTAATAATTTTATTGGTCTATAGGCTTCCTTTGCTAACCAATAGGCATTACTCTTATAGTTTTTCTTGGTCCCTTTTTTCTCCTTTCTGCAACCTTTTCACCTACGTTTTAATTAAGTAAAACAATAACAAGTGTCTTTACCTTCTTTCGTATTGCGCAGTTCTCACGCACCTATACGGCCCCTGCTTTGCCCCATTCTTTACTTCTGCTTTAACCAAGATTTTCATAAGAAGTTTGAGCGGGGGGCTTTTGTCATTGGGCGGCCATAGGAAGAACTTTTAGCCTTCTTTTCAGCCAATGAAATAGAGTGAGGGCTGACTTACTGGCAATCCGCGTCATCCAGGGCGCGCAGGGTGAATCAATATTGTTCTGGATCAGTTGCAGCACAGATCCAAGGACGCGGTTCATGAGGTCTGCTGTCACTGTGGTGATTGGTAGGTTCTCTTCGTCCGTCTTATTCTCAACTTTTTCTGCCAACTCTCCGACCATCAGCTCCATGTTTTCATCAAATTGGTCCGCCTCGTAACCATTACCGGAGGTCCGAGCCAGTTGATCTTGGGCTTGCTTATTTCTGCGCCACCAGAAAGGCAGATAAGAGCAGAGCATAGGCAGGGTGACCTCGATTAGGTGTGGCTCGTCAGCGCAGTCGGAACCAGCTTCTGCCAACCGGGCGATGTCATCAATGATGTCATCAAGGGTTGGCAGGGTCTGACTGATTGTCCGCAGGAGATCTAAGACAAACGTCAAACCAGGAATAAGTGAGGAGGAGACAGAGAGACACCCGAGTTGTTAACCCTGTCACGAGCTGCAAGAGTTGTACGGCTGAGTTTTTAATGGAAACCCAGCTGTTTCCAGTTCAAAATGCCTGAGGTTCTTTAGAAAATAGTTTCGTAAATGAATAATGACTGTTTTTTGGATGGTCGAGCATTGGTCGATCGTTTTCGTTTTTGTGTGCTTTTGTCCGAGATCCTACAGTATGCATACCAGAAAACCAAATCTGTTAGTCACTATAGCTTATATATGGCGTCGCTAGGAAGCGCCCTGAAGTTCCGAGAAGGAAAGATGGGGCTGATCTATTGAATGGGTGATCATTTGACTGTTGTTTTAATGACCTACAATCCTCGGTTGCCTTTTAGTGCATCTATCACAGATGCTGCTTCTACTTCTCAGTTATAATTAAGCACCTCTGAAGAATTAATTGATGTCCTAGCTCTTTGGCTGTGACTAAATTGAATGCAGTCAACAACGAATACTCTCAATGTAGCACTGATGTAAAAAAAGC